TTATTTCGTTATTTATTTGTAATTTTTATTTAATTTTATAATAATAAAATTTTTAACACAAAAAATTTTTATGTCACATGTTCTTTGTAAGATGGTCTCGATAAATCAGTTCTCTCGATAAGTCAGCCAAACATGCTCAGCCATGCACGGCTGACTTATCGAGTTTACCTATGTATAAAAATTTTAAATTTAATACAATATATCTGAATAATTTAAATATAATAAAAATCATACCTAAATTATCAAATAAAAAGCCCACATCTAATCATTTCAACTTGCTTGTTGAACTATTATTACATTCAATTTCTAGAAGAGGTTCCTCATCCTCCAGATTTGGTTGTCCCAAATGATTCTTTTTTCCAAAAATACACAACAGACACAAACTACAGTATACTGATTGTAGGATTTGTTGAATCAAACAATGCCAAACTTCTGATCTTATTTGGAACCCTGACCTGGAGTCTTTGATGTTTCCCCAATATGAAAGGACACTATGAGTACATTAAAAAATAACACCTTCAATAGATAGCTAGGTCCTGCTTGTATTGGTACTAGCCACATTGATGCTTGAGAGAAGAAATTTTCAAAATTAGAACCAGATACTGGCCACCAAAAAATGTAAATGTGAGAAACATCCATCAAAAACCACAACCTTGCCATTGAATTTTCCCCTTTTTTAAAAAGAAATAAGTGTGTAAAGGCTTCCTCAGATCTTCTACATCTTGATGATGGCCAAAGACAATGGACCCACTTGCATGGAATGGCAACACCATGCTAAGCAATCAACCATCACACATCTACATGCAAAACCAAAATATGCCAGAACAAGGACACTGGAATGGTAAATTAGAGCATTTCTTTAAACATGACAATTTTCAAAATCATGGAATGATCCACATGTACAGTTTTACCTACATGGAAAAAAGAAACATCTCACTTAATGCAATCCATGCAGACATTCCATCATGGAAAAACATTGTATAATTTGGTCATGAAGTGTCAGAATACACCATTGTAACCATCAAATGGAGAACCATGTTCCAAAGGGCTCCATCAGCCACAATCAGACAAAACCTATTGCTCACCCAATGTCTATTTTCATGTAAAGTAAGAAGACAGGATGGTCATCCCTGATATGGAATGGTCACATAAATTTTCAATATGTGATGTCCATAGGATTTTGTGAAATACATTACAAATCTGACAAATACTGAAAACATATCATGATGAGGATGATACTTTTCTCCAGTACCTAGTAACCAGATATTCCACTACTTCTCTGAATACCATCTAAGATCTGTGAAACTGATGCACTTGCTAAATAAGAAAATTGACATTGAAAGTGATGAGAGGGCAAGTAATCCTTGCTGTAATGAGTTAGATTCATCATTAAGATTTGAGCATCTTGAGCTTCTGATGAGGCTTCATTTAAAGATATAATACTCCTTTTTTACTTCCTCTTCATAAATTATTTATTTTTTAGTATGGGTTTGAGAACTAACAGTATTTAAAGATGATGGATGTTTCTAGTTTAATATAGGACTACAATATAACAATCACGATTGTTGTGATCTTTTAATTCTGTATCAATAGTATATTTTTTTGATAAGTTAAATAAGTGAGTTAAAATCTGATAAATAAAAGGAAAAACATGTTTATCTCTAGTTCAGGATTTATTCAGCTAATTATTTGAATTTCCTGCAAAAATCAGAAGCCTGTCCTATTAAAGCTGTGTTGACTTCAAAGAAAGTTCATCAAAGTTTTCTATGACATTAATGAATTGAATGGAATTGGTACAATACAAATGTGTCCAGAGTCACATTGCCATATTTTTCTGTTTAATAATATTTTCAAGGAAGACAAATTATCATCAACATTTGAGTTAACCTTTACAAATTGAAGCTGATTACCATTTGACATTTCAATGAATATAATTTTATTTTTAATTAATTATGACAAAAAACATTTCATCGGGTATCATTTAATCATGACATCATCAATGACTCATTTTTGACATTTAATTTTAGTAATTCATTTATTTTATTTTATTGGACAAAATCATGTAAAAAGTTATGTTATTTGTAATACTTCAAGAAGTATAAATATGCTTGAAATCTCCTTCAGTGAAAAAAAAATTTTAAAAACAATTGATTTTTCAATAATGACACTTTCATTAATTGATTCATAACCCTTTCTGATGATTAATGGTTTGACTAATATTTAATTATTAGTTAGGAACCCCTTTATTGGTTTTACTATATTGCTTGTAGGGATGCCTCAAGCATTGTAGTTGTGCTAGATTTGATGACTCTGCAATAGAGCAGAGTTTCTATTCGTAATAGAAATTTTTGTTTGAATTATTCAAAACATTCGTTTGTTTGAATTATTCAAATTGTTTATTTATTCAAATTGTATCATTCGAATTGTTATCATTCGTTTATTATTCGAATTGTTATCATTCGTTTATTAATCGGATTGTTATCATTCGTTTATTATTTGAATTGTTATCATTCGTTTATTATTTGGATTGTTGTCATTCGTTTATTATTCGGATTGTTGTCATTCGTTTATTATTCGAATTATCATTATTTGTTTATTATTCGAATTGTCATCATTCGTTTATTCAAATTAATCGTTTATTTGTTTTATTCAAATTATTTCGTTTATTCGTTTTATTAAAATTATTCGTTTTATTCGAATTATATTCGTTTTTATTTTATTTGAATTATTTTGTTTATTTCAAATGAATTATTCGTTTTATTTTATTCGAATATTCATTTCTATTCGTTTTATTTTGAATTGTTTGTTTTATTTCGAATTACTTGTTTTATTTGAACTATTCGAATTATTTGAACTATTCATTTATTCGAATCATTCGTTTATTCGTTTTATTCAAATTGCTTATGCTTTTTATTTGAATTATCTACTTGAATATCAAATTATTCGTTATTCATTTTATTCGAATAAACTTCCAATTTAATTCGAAACTCAAAATTCATAATAATAATAATAATAATAATGAGTAAAACAAATAAATCGAAAAAACCTTATTCGAATAGAAACCCTATTCAAACAATGTGGTTGTTAGTGATTTTTCCATATTCAGACTTGCAATGTTTATTACGGTTTATGGCTTTAACGACTTTAGGGTGCATGTCGAATTTATTTGTGATTATAATTCAGGTAAAAAATTTTTTTTTAATGAAAAATTTTTAGTATTAATATATTTTGTGTGATACATAGCATAATGGACACTCATTTTGTGCAACAGTCATTTGTATAATAGGCAGGCGGTTACACAGAGCGCGTTGCTTCTGAAACTTCACTAGAATATAGCTGTAGCCTCTCTAAGTCCAGATCATCAGCAAGATCAAAATTATCTCACACTTTTATAATCAAACTTTTGCAAGAACTTTCACCATAACATATGTTATGTTGATCGTTTTTTTGTGATCTGCAACAGTGTCCACTATGCTAGCAAACCCTTGAGATGGAAATATTGCATAAAGACCAATTTTTGAAATTTATTATTTATAAGATAAATGATATGATGAAAGAATTAGTAAATTCTATTAAAATTTCCTGTTTCCATGGATTTATATTAGGCAGTTCGGTTTTTAAATATTCTTCTAATGTGGAAAGGCAACAGACTTATCAAAGATAAATCTTGTCCAATCAAAAAAAGGTTTTGTCATACCATCTAGTTTTTGAATTGTCCTTGATAATAACCATGTGTAATATGAGATGATTGAAAAATTTTAAATTGTAGTGCAATTTGAAATAATTGGTTTAATTCACAAAAATTTGAAGCTATTAAATTTACTGTGTGAACAACATATCTAAAATTCAAAATATGTGAATATGATTTTCTTTGATATTCTTAGATTTGGCCAGAAACTGTTACTACTGCAACAAATTTATGTGACCCAATTTTTTTCAATTAAACCTGAAATTTCATTTGCCATAAAGTCTCCAGTTTGACTGACAGTATTACTAAATTTTTTAATATTTGGAAATAGTTATTATATAATTATATATTGAACCATTAGTGGTGAAATCCATTCATCAGACCTAATTATAATGAATGATGCATATAAAAAATTAAATATTTTAATTAAATAACCTTTAACATGTAGAATTTTTTCACTTTCAAGTCCTGACTGTTCTATCCATTCATGCAACCTCAGATGTCCAGATAACTTTTCTCTAGATGATAAATTGTATCAGGTACTGCAATTCAAAATAAATCAATTATGATGGAATGAAAGACCATAACAAAACCAAGCCTTTTGATCTTTTTCTTGTCCATCTTTTCCTACATCATTTGATATAAGGATTTATAATGACTACTAATAAACGATTCTTCTTTATTATTACATGCCCCAATCTAAATGTTTGCCTTTTCTTTTAATCAAAGAATTATTTCATTATTGTGAAGAGAGAATCAAGGAAGTTATTGTATTACCTGAGAAGTTGTCATTTTTTCTATACACTGCAATGATTGACTCGTAAAAGGTTACACACGTACTTGAAACCTGGTATATCATTTCCTAAATAGGATTTTTAACCAAATCATCTTGATATTAACAATGTATTTAGCATACAGGACAATGAAATATTTCTTATTTTCTTTTATTTTTTATTTAATACTGAAATATTATTTTATTTAAAATGGACGGCTAGTTAAATCAATAAATTATGGGTATTTTATCAATTACATTGAATTAATGCAAAAGAAAAAAAGTCTGATATTAATCAAATGACAGAGGAATGGAATCCTAGCCGTTAATCACTAATTATCTAACAATAGAATAAAATTGTTTTAGAAAAACTATATTATTACTAGTGCTATTCTTGGCACTGTTGTTTTTATTCTTATTCCTCCTCTTCAGATTTAGGAAGTTTTTGCTTGATTAGCATGAATTCATTTGGATATTGTTTGTTTATTTTTGTTTTAATCAATCTAATTAATTTTAAAAAGTTAGTATTCGTTTAGAGTGTGTGAGTGTGCGAGCATGCAAGTATGATTGATATATACACATTTCATTCACCTTATTTTTTTAAAAATGTAATCTAAATCATTTTTCATTTCCTTGATATTTTTAGTATGCATTTCAAACTTTTTAAATAATTCATCGTATTTACATTGACTAAACTCATTGAAATTAGTTAGGCCTGTTACTGATTTTTCAATTGTTTGATGACTTTTTATAATAAAAAGTGAAGAAAAAATAAAGTTAGAAATTATAATAATATTCAATGAAACATAATAGTAATCAAAATTTAAAGTATTATACATGAGCGTTTGACTTTGTACTATATCATCCAAATCTTTTTCATTGGTCATTTCTTTCATACGATTCGTCACATAATTAGAAGCCTTATATAATATTTCATTGTTTGCATTTTCTTCTTGCATTATAGAATATCTAAGATGTCAAATTTTTTTTGTTTTACAATACGTTGTTGATCATTTAAGAATGTGTTATTGATTTTATATTTCCTATAATGATAATTCACGGAACCACATGAACACCTCCACAGAAACTTCAAACAATCAAGAAGAAGAAGCTTCTTCAATATCCGACGAAACCACTACAATAAAATTTACTCCATGTACCATATGTTCAGAACCTGGTTGTATTACTAGTAAACAAATAACAACAACAACCATTAAAGTGATAACAGTAGTCATAAGAAATGAAGATGGAGACAGTATAACTAATTCATTTGTCGAAACAGACGTGTCACCTGTTGTAACTACAATAGAAACATCTGACCCATCACAAATTGAAATTGAAACAACCGAATATCCACGACAACCACCACAACAAGAAGAACTTCGTCAAGAAGAAGAGATACAGGAAGTAGAAAATGGCATTAATACACTTACTATTATCGCTGAATCAGATTAATTTTTCTTAATTATTTTCAAATTAATTAATTAATTATAAAAAATAAAAAAAGTTACAACTAATAAATGATGATAATAGTTGGTTACTTGATTAGAAGAAATATTGATGATAACTTAGATTTTATAGAAGGTGAAGAAGCATTCAAAGAAAAAAATTAAGAGAAGGAGGCAAAGAAAAAATATTGATTACTTCTTTAACCATTTATATGTAATAATAATATATTTTTTCCATTCATTTTATTAACTAAAGCCAAAAAAGTCTTTTATTCTAATTCGAAATCTTTAAAATCCTTTATTCCAAGTCATTACAAAAAAGGGCGAAATAGAAATGAACAAATGAACAAGAATTTTTTCTAAATTTTATCAATATTTATCAATGTATCATCATAACAAAAAGTGTTAAAAAAATATGCAGATAGAAATATCATTACTGCAAGTTCCGATATGTTGAAATGTTTCATGATCAGATTGCCACAAAAATTATGTAGGGTTGTATAAGTATTGGTTTACATATAATAGAACATTCTGATTAAAATTTACAAACACCATCTATATTGTTCGCATGATATGATAATAAAAGTTAAAATTCGTTATCAATGAAAATGACTTAATTTGGAGTACCTTGGCTTGAGGAAAGATTTAACTTGCAGAAAATGTTTACGTAATTAAGACATGAAAATGAAGGTGTGAGTCGTGTCAATTAATTTTTTTTACAGAGTTCTAAATTAATATAGGAACGATCTTCGAAACGAAGTGAATATATGTTGCGAACCAGTTAATATAACAAAATGATATTATTCCACGTGTGTAATAACGCTCTGAAAACTCAAATATATAAGAATACAGCCAGATGGTTAATCAAAAACTTTTTTATGAATTACTATAAAGATTCATTATTAATATAATGAAATCCATAGATTTTTATTACTACTTCCATGGTTTTTTATAATTAATAAAATCAAATGGTTTGCTAATTAAACTATTATAGTCCGTTATTTCCTCACCAGTATAAAATGAATATTTAATTAAATTTGAATCTGCCCCTGATTTTGAAGAATTATTATCATCATGAATTTTGCTTTTTTTCTCCAACTCTTTGAAATCACTCAAAAATTTAATTTGCATTTTTTGTTCTCTGGTCTTTTTTTGTGTCATCTTCAAAGTTTCTTCCTTTAACATAATGTGAACTTTTAATGTGTTAATTTCCTTTTGAAAACTTTTATTCTTACCATGTAAACTACTTGATGATGATTGGATGTTGTTTAGTGATGACGATTTAGCAGCATTTTTTAGATTTTTTAACTCTTGAAATAATAATTGATTCTCTTCTGTCAACTCTTTTCTAACCTTTTCCAATTCATTTATTTGTTCATCATATTTTTCATTTTTTGATTCCAACTTATTATTTAACATTTCATGGGATTGTTCTTTGATATGTATTAATTCATTTAGAGTCTTATGCCTGCTTTGTATATTTCTTTTGTATATTTTAATTTGTTTTGATATTGTTTCATTTAGTTTTCTATTTTTTAATATAAATTCCAAGTCATCATTAAGTGCATTTTTTTCTTCTTGTATTTTGATATTCTTTGTATATAATCCTTTTATTTTATTTATGTATATATTTAAATCTTTTTCAAAAGTATACCTCTCTTTTTCTATGTCAGAAAGAGCTTGACTGACATTTGTAATGCTATTTATTGTCTTTCCCTATTATTATATATATGTTATTTTTTTTTAATAAAATAAATAAATAATTGAATAGATAAATGAATGAATAAACAAACTTACTGGAATAAGCTTATCATTATGATCTAGTTCATCACCATTAGTTTGAAATTCCTTTAAATTATTGTATTTATTTATAATCAGTGTTGATTCTGAACCATTGATCGTTGTAGGTGTATTTGGTGGAGAAATATCTATTATTTCAATATCATTTGATTGGATATTTGATCGATGAACATTTGGATTACCATTTGTTTGATCATTCAGTTGAACCTGCTGGGCAAGTTGAATTTGTTGTGGTTGATATGTATCATGCGCTGCTAAAGACAGCTTTGGTCTTATATTTTTTTGTAGTCGTGGTACTGGTTGATTAGGTTTTATCACTTGCATTGGTTGTGGTTGTTGAAATTGTTGGATCTGTTGATATTGATAAATATGTTGTTGCATCCATGATTGTTGAATTTTTTGTGATTGTTGAATTTGTTGGGTTGACTGAACTTGATGAACATGGTGTATATGTGTTTGTTGTATTTGTTGTAGTTGTTGCATATGTTGTAGAATTGGTTGAACTTGCTGAATATGTTGATGTATCAGTGACTGTTGCATCTGTGGTTGTTGCATGTGTTGCTGGATCGGATGAAATAATTGCATTGGTTGAATATTGTGTGGTTGTATTAGTTGTATTGGTTGTATTAATTGTATTGGACGAACCTGTTGAATATTCTGTTGCATTTGTGGTTGTATTAATTGCATTGGGTTAATATATTGTATTGGCTGTATTGGTTGAACATGTTGCATATATTGTATATGCTGTAGTTGTTGTTGAATATCATTTTTAATATTATAATTATTGTGTATATTATTTGGAATATTACTTGGAATAATGTTTGGAATAATGTTTGGAGCAATATCATTATTATTATTTTGAAAGTTATGATTTTGGATGTTATTGTCATTTATGTCTGTTGGATCATTATCATTATCATCATCATCTATTATTAAAATTTCTTTATTTAAAGAATTTATTTTTTTATTCCAATCTTCTATTAATTTTTTAGAGAGATTACTTTCTGGCTCCTTATCATGACACATATATAGGAAAAAAAACATCAAAAAAAATTTTTTTTTCCAGATATAACAAAAGAATCAAAAAAAAGAACAGTTATAATAATACCCAAGTCAACTCCCAACTATCTCCATAAATATTTACACCTGCCCATTTTATTAAGTAATGTTTAACGCCCTTTTGAATTCTTTCATCTAAAATGCATTCAGGAGTTCGAACAATGTCTTCCATTTTATTTTGTTTAAAAAGGCCCCAATGATGGTTGAGTTAAATAACAACTATTATTGTAGTCAAAAATATTAAAGTATTGAATGAGAATTCTTGAGAAGAGTGAAAAAAAAACAAGCGAAATAATTCGTGTGATCAAAATTAAAAATATCTGCATTAACAATGTTACACGAATACTGCGGGAAATACGCTAATCAATCCTCCAACAGCTATTTATTATTATTATCATCATCATCATCATGTTCTTCGAAACACCTCTGGCCTTTTCTGATTGTTCAAGGAAAACTTTAAGGCAAGCATTTAAGTCACGATTTCACGACATAATTGAATTTTTATTGTGGAACTTTACCACATGTTCATCAAAGTTAATATTAATGCACTTATCCATTTTGGTCATATTTATTATTTTTAACGAAAGAATACAACTCAACCAAATCAGTGCAACATACTTTGTAACAATTTATAAAAGATTGACAATATTTTGGTAATATTTAGAAAGAATTGGCAACGATGCTATCTCTCTTTGGAAATTTTCGAAGGAAAAGTAAAAATTTCGTTTCATAAAATTGATTACGTTGTATAAATCTTTCAATCATTGATCATGATAATGACCACTCACCCAATTTTTTTTAAAACGTTCAGAGGTTGTATTTATAAGTAATGAAAAAGAAATCACTTGATTAAAATCGAACCTTTTCCAAAAATGTGAAGATACCATTAAAAAATTTTGGGAATTAATCCATTATTGATTTAGTATTAGCATCGCCAGAAAAACAATTTGGAATTTATTATTTTAAAAAAATATTTAAAGGAAATCAATCAAGTTTTTTTTCTGAAAAGATTCTTGTCTTTTTGGAAAATGAAGAAAAATGCAACAATTTGGGAAATTGTTTTATTAAAATATTATTTCTAATATTAAAAACGACAATGCCTTTTATTATTAATTTTCTAATATTAAAAACGACCATGCCTTTTTTGAAAGTGTGAAGAAAAAAACGTAACGATTCGGAATTAATTCAACTTTTTAATTTAATTAAACATCGAACCGTGCCTTTTTTTGAAATGTAGGAATTGAACAAAGCTTTTTTCGAAAAAGGTTCTCCTGTTGCTTATTGCGAAGAAGAAAAATGTAACAATTCGAAAATTTGATTCATTATTTAACACCACGCCCTTTTTGAAGTGGTGAAGGAAATCCTCATCAATATAAAAAAATAGCGGAGAGTATGAATTCATAAATCGTAAAAAATAAATAAATTGTTAAAAATAAACAAAACAAATAATAATAAACAATAAATAACAAATAATAATTAAAAAAATAAAAATAATAAAATAACATGTGTTCTATTTTTGTTGCCAATTGTTTCATTAAACATGTAACTTCCACTGAGGGAACAATCAATGGAATTGCTCTTTATGGAAACGACAATGTTTTTAGAGAAATTAGCTTCAAAGGATATTATGACATGGCAAACAATGTGTTGAATTTTTCCAAGCATTCAACTGTCGTCCTGGTCGGGAGATACGTTATAGAAGAGGGAGTCGAATATATTTTTTATTCTTTGATTGGAGGAGATTAATTATTTGCCTGGTCATGAAAGTTTTTGCCAGTTCCATCCGAGCCAGTTAAAAAAAAGTAAGGATATTTTCCATCTGATCTCCTACCCCAACTATTACATAAAATGCTATATATTTCATACTGTTCATTCTGAATTGAAGCATACACCTATTTGCAGCTCCTACTGGTGTTGTGGCCCAAAACATTGATGGAAAGCTATACATTCGTCCTTAAAAATAAGTTTTTGGGAGGGAAGTTATGAAACATTAGCTCTTTCCAATCCTGCAGATGTAACAGAATTAAAAAAGATCAAGGCATTCATATGTGAAGAAGTGTCAATGGTTGATAGTGACCTTTTCACATTCGTTAGCAACATCCTAAAATTCATAAAAACAATCTTATCTTTGGAGAAATACCAACACTTGTTGTAGGAGACCTAGATCAACTCCCTCCAGTTTGTCCTTCTCAAGTATTTAGATCACCAGTTTGGAAAAAAAATTTCCTAATATTCTTAACTATACCACAAAGGCAGATAAATGATGTTGAATTTTACAGGATTCTCCAAGAGATAAGAACAGGAAATTTGTCAGTTAGAAGCAAGCAAATGATCCAAACAAAAATTAACCAAGAAACTGACCTTTGTAGTTTCTATGATACCACACATATGGTCAGCACTCGAAAAGCAGCTCAATCCCTCAACACAATATTTTTTAATCACCTCCCTTTTGATGAAACATGCAATGATCCAATAGTTTTTGAATGCATAGACACACTAGAATTTGAAATATCAAATGATGATCACTCAATTGCTCAATTCCAAAACTTAAAAAACTTGCCTCATAAATTGTATTTACAAGCATGTGTGATGTTTCTTAATAATAAGCTATTTGATGAAAAATATGCAATGGAACTATTGGAATAGTGACAAAAATTTATGATGAAGAGAATGTTGAGGTGACCTTTCCTGCCTTGACCAGCATAAGCAAGGTTACTGTCCAAAGAGAAACATCTTACTTTGAAGTTTATGGTAAGAGAGCATCAAGGAATCAATTTCTTCTTCAGAATGCATTTGCTCTGACTGTTCATAAAACTCAAGGATTGACTTTGCCACATGTTGACGAAAGCATGTTTGCTGAAGGACAAGTGTATGTTGCAATGAGTCAAGCTCTCTCGTTGGAAAAACTGCAAATCATTGATTTTGATTATTCCCAATTAAAATTTACAGGATGGTTTTGGAAGAGTATGAAAGATTGGAGGCTGTGAGCATTGATGGGCTGCAAAAACTAACAACGCAGTAAAAGAAAATATTCTTTGTAAAATATTGAATATAATTAATAGTCATGATGTATTAAATTTTTAAAATTCCACACTGATGCTTGTGTAATGTGATGATTACACAAACTCGCTGTAACCTATTTAAATCTCGTTACATTTCTGAAGGCCACATGGCGCAGCAATGGGAGGTTTTTTAGTGTTTTATTATTATATATATACTATATGTTTGTGTTTATGTGTGGCAAAATTTAATTCGTCTTAGTGTTAGTATTAGCCAATTGTCCATAAGTTAGAGTACCTGAAACGTTCTCTTTCAATTCTTTTTCTTGTGAAATATTGTTTGACTTTTTCAAGTTTTCCTTGAAAATTTCTGTTTTTTCTAGATCGTTATTTTCATATTTCACGCTCATTATGAATATAAAGGAAACTTTAGGTTTTCGCCATTAGCTTTATGCCTTGTTAGAAAAAGAAGAGAGTGAATATCGACGAATAAATGAAATCTATTTGTTTGAATATATCAAATTTTGATCAGAAGGAATGTTTCAAAGATTTTTGTGTGATTACAGTAAACTGGACAATGATTTGACAGTGGAGGAGAAATCGTATATATATGTTGAATTAATGGATTTATGACTATTAAAATAATGTAAAAAAATTCTTTATCACCAAGTAACATTTTGATTTTTGTTATTATTATTATTATTTAAATATTTTTTCGGTAGTTTTAAGTTTAAATTTTTGTTATTAAAGTTTAATTATATATACTATATTCTACAAAGATGTTATGAGTTTTTTGAATTATAGTTACTAGAGTTTTGACATATATTTAATATATTTCGTTACGTATTTATTTTTCGGTAAAAAATATATCAATAATACGAAAATTATATCAGTTTGTAGCTTAAGCTCAGAAAATTATGCATGTAAAATTGATGTGGGAATTTTTTTTTAATGATTGCTCTAAAGCATACATAATAATACGCATCAAAATTTTACATAAGATCTTTTGATTCTCTGATATGATCAATATCGTGTGATTTTGGTTGTCTGCGCGATTTTTTTCGTAGCAATCTGGTTCTTAGTAATTATTCTTATTTATAGTGATTTATTTTTGCAAAACTCATTTAATAAGTTTAACTATGTAATTATTAACAATTTAACAATTTAAATACATTTAATAAATTAGAAATTGAAGATAATGAAGGAATTTATAGAACGAAGAAAAGGTTATGGGGTTTTTGATGAAATTAATTTGTTCTAGAACAAACTCCCGGATGCAAAGTATTATTTGTTTATTGATCATTACACTCAATATTTCATAAATGTGCGCTTCGGCAAACTTATTTTATTACAATGATATTTAATAATAATGTTAATCTGATCATTTATTTATATCTTATAGCTCTTGCTATTGGGGAATATTAGATCTCGCTATAGAATCATTGTTCAATTTAATCAATTGGCATACTAAAAAGTCCTCCAACTTTTTTTTTTGATAGCAATTGTACGAAAATGGATGTTGACGAGTATAATAATTCTCATAAAAATTCATTACAAGTATCGAATTGTTTCTTAGACAAGCTAGTTTACCGCAGCAATTCTAATATGAAAACGTTTTGTCGGAAACATTTATTGGTAAAATTCTTTAATATTAATAAATCCAATTTTTTTCTACTAACGATACCAACAATAATCTTTCAACGTTAATAGAATTTTATACCAATATCCAAAAAGCTTCAATATCTATTACGGGTCCTCACGGCATTGATTTGTTTTAGAATGTATGATTATCAATGTTATTCTTAATATCTTTCGATTTTTATTAGGTCTTCTTCATAGACTTGTGTTAATAGTCTTTACTTTTTGCTCCTCCTGATAAATCCATAATCCTTTCTTATCTAAATATCATTGAATAGTTTTGGTACTATTTATACATGAGGTGCAATTTCCTACCTTGTTCTTTTTTCAAGATTTTTGTAATTCTTGGGTGGTTCTTGTGTAAATTAATATTAATTTCATATTTATGTTTTTATATCGGATAATCTTATGTATCATTTAAGAAAGTAGAAACAAAATTGAAGAGAAAAGGATAAACTTTTATCTGACTCTTGAATCATTTTGTGAAGCAATAAAAGGGCTGTATGACAAACATATTCATATAATGGTGGAAAAC